GAAGGGCTGCTGCTGGGAATTCAGTACGCTGCATTCTGCTAAAATTTCTCTGGCCTCTCTCATGCAGCGTTTGTGGTGTGAGCCCTCCGAAGGGCTCTGCATTGCAAGCGCTGGTGTTCAGAGCCTACAGCACCTCTGTGCAACAGGCTGGACTGAGTCTCTGGCTGAGCGGGAGGCTGGTTTACTTCCCAAATCGTGGAGACTGAAAGAAACTTGACAAACAGAGAATCTGGCAGGATCCCGTATCTGCTTTCCTGCTCATACTATCTTCCCCTTCCAAGCAACAGCAATCACTCTGGGCAGCTGTAAGCAGGGCTGAGCGTGGGCGAGTTACGGAAGGAGGGGTCAGTAGAGGGGGACTGGCCAGCTGTTCTTTATGCTGTCTCAGAACCCCGTTCCAGATTAGACTGAAGTTTCTCAGATGGGTCCCGCAACTCTGAAGACCAACTCTCTCTCACTGCGTTTGTGCATTTCTCTTTCTAAAGGTGAAGACAAGTGTGTGATGGTGTGCTCACCCCCCGCACCCTTTTCTGCTTAAGCAATAGCCACCAGTGGTGGTCATGATGGCTGCATCTGACTTAAGTTGGACTCTGGGGAGAGAGATAACAAGACAATAATTAAGGGCCATAAATCTTGCTCAACAGCTGAGGGCTAGTTGAGCATACGCCAACTGAAATACGGCTGGTATGCAAATATGACTATAAGTCAATCATAAAGAATGGACAGCCCAGGGCCTGTTGAGCTCTCCTGCACAGCGGTGGGCTGCACATCAGGGTCTCCCCTTGAGCAGGGACGCTTCTCACGGTTACTCCTCGAGGTTGAAAGATGCCTTGCCACAACTGATTCTCAGTAAGTGATTAACAGCACGCTAAACTTTGAAATCTTAGCTAAGTGATATAAAGGATTGATTGTGCATATATAATCCTTTAGATATAAACCATTGACCAAGTCTGGGACTAGGAGTGGATCCAGTCGCACCTCAACTCCTCTCTGAGAAGGAGTTCAGAAAGCAAGGGGGTCCTTTCTGAGTCTTATGACTCAGGGTCTCCCTGACAGTTTTGTCTGATCCTGTCCTCTATGCAGTAAATAATCAAGTGTACCTTGCCATCAGATCTTGTTAAGCCACCATCACATTTACTATCAAATTTTGTTAAATTGCTGTTTTATATCAATAAACATACTGCTACTTCTCTCTCACGAGTGAAGTGGGTGACTCCATCCACAACAAAGGGATAAGGGAGAGAAAAAAAAAACCACCTCTAGAAAACACTTTGTTTTTAAAAGCATTTGAGAAAAAGAAGGCTAAGGGGGTATGTTTGGAAATATGCAGCTGAATCAAAGATAATCACCACAGAAGAACTACCCGGGGTAGGTCTCTGAGTAGAGGAAAAGCAAGCTATGCAATACTGCTGAAACAGACCAAATTAAAATACCATAGGAGTTAAAATAAAGTTTTAATCTAGAACACTTCCATAGACAAAAAAACTCAAAAAAATAAAATAAATTGAAAGATACATCCTTGTTACCACCTGTGTACATCCAGGGGTTCCAATCATTGCACCCCACTCCTCTGATACCTATGTATAACATAGGAGAAAAAGAAGCAAGCATCTTAGTTCTTCACCACGGGCTTTGGTGGACTGAAGATCAGATCCTCCCATTACGATTTTTGTTACTTTATACCCCAATTGTGATTTGCTTGCTCTAAAGTAACTGAAGCCCATCTGTATTAAATTACAAACTCATTTCTATTTACATGTCCAGTCTGAACTACAAACCAAACTCAACTGTTTTGAGAAAAAAATAAATCTAAAAGACTTGCGAAAAAATAGTTAAGTGGACAGTCTTAGATCTTAACCAGGAACTTAGGAGTTCCTTCATTTTTGCCACTGTTACTAGTAGCTTGCTTCTGATGGCCAGCCTACTCTCATTAATCAAAATAAATGGAAAAATCGCACTTATCAGCATCAGGTAACAAAGCTCCCACAGAATTCTCCTGCTTGTCTGATTCAAAGCGAGCACAGAACCATTGCCACCTCTAATCTTCCCTGCCTGTTCCTGCCTTCCCTGCCTTGAGCCTTTCACTTTACAGGGATTCCTTGTAGATGGTGAACAAATCGTCCAAGAAAATCTGACAAAAGTAACTCTGTTTCCTTGATACAAGTAATCCAATCCTGAGGCTTGACCCTGTTGGGTGAAAGGCACTGCAGCACTTGCAGCTTTTTTCAAATCATGACTGGAACAGGTTAACTGCTGCTTGGCAAAATCCATGGTGTACAGTTCAAATAAAGAATTATTTTTCCTCTTTGCCCTTAGTCTTTCTGTAGACCATCTCTCGAAAGCTTGCAAGGATCTTATTCTCGCGTTTCCTCCTCTCCTCCTGGTTGAAGGATGCCAGAGCTCTCTTTTCATCTGCGCTGTAGATCTGGTTCTCTTTACGCAGACGCACAGCTTCCATTCGGCGATGTCTGCAGAGGAGAACATTGTGTACATCAGCACAGGCAAAGGGATGTAATGCCCTGTCACGGCTTCCATCCATCAACTGGTCTGAATGTTCTGAGGGGCTTATAAATAAAGATATCTACACTAGATAATCCAAACTGCACACGAACCTTCCCAGGAAGGAGCGTGGCAGAGCAAGGAACTGACATATGCTCTCCGGCAGTCAGCCAGAAGCCCCACCTACCCCCAGGGTGTCAGCTGCTGGCTCACCAAAATCTAAGTGAAGTCCCTGTTGGACTCAGAGAAAAAGGTGCAGCCAATCACTGGTGTCCAAATACGCCACCTTTGAGCCACCTGACACAAGCATCTCCTCATTTGAAATACAAGATAATTAGACGTAAATTACCTGGAAAGAATTTTTGCTCTTGAGGAAAAGGTGTCCTTAAAAAACTCACCATCTACCTATAGCAATAGGGAGTTTAGTGTAGATTATTGCACACACACGGAGTGCCTTTTCTTCTGTGCTTTCAACTAGAGCTTGGAAGCAGTCTTCCAACCAGCCAACAGAGGAAGCAGCTCTTGAAAATTTCACTGAACCACTACCATCACCAAAACCGTACCTGCTGCCACTCATGACATAACCAGAGCTCTCAAACGATGCGATCTCTTCACTGGTCAAGCCAATTTCACCTCTCCGGGGTATACGTTTTCCTGCTTTTACATACTCTGCCATTGCTGCACCTTCACCAGGCAAGAGGGCATGTCCATAGCTTAAAGAAAAAAAAAAAAAAGAGCAGTCATTTCAGTCAGTCTCTAATAGGGAGAGCCTGAGCTAAAGAACCAGCTTCCCTGTTCACTACTTGCTACAGCTGCAATTTTAAGCACTTTCTTATTCTTTCCCACATATTGGCCTGTTTCTTCCTTATGGCTAACACTAGCAACAACATCTTAAATTACCAGTTGAATCCATTCTGATTAAACAGTAGTGAAGACATGACAAAGTCACAATACCGCAGAGCATTAGAATCAAGGTATCTTACAATTCATTTTCTGTGAATCAAGGCTAAAAACCATAGACCAGACTCTTCCACATGAATTCAGGCCAGGGTAAAGGCTAGCACCACTACCGCTTCTATTTCAGTTTCTGGCGCAGCATTTCTCTCTGATGCATGCCATATTGTTATAACAGCCCTTTTGAACAGTGACCTTCAGGCTTGATTTACTTGATCAAAGTACTGTTAGAGCCAGCTACTCACTTCAAAGGCCTATCATCCTGAGATGCATGAGTTTTGGGAGCTTCTGGTCCAATCAAGCTATCAGCTTCTGTATTTTCTGCAAAAAATCAAATAATGAGGGATATTAATACTGTGCCCATTGTTCTTTGTTATCAGAACAGTTACACAGGCCAGCAACACCTAACAAAGAATTTACGAGAAGGACATCAAGAAGTTTCAACCCAAGTTTAAAGTCAGGTGAACCTACTTGATCTCTCAATCCAGAGATCTTCCCCTTGAAAGGTTTCATCATCAGAATCTTCACTACTGGAATCACTGGATTCCTTCCTGCTCTTCTTATTTTTCTTCTTTTTGTACTTCTTCCTGTGATGAAGTCAAAGACAGACATGCTATTTACCAAAATTTAAGATAAAAGAAAGTGCTTGGAATCATGCTCAAATCATTAGTTTCTCAAGGCAACTTCCACCTATGGAAAGACTGGCTGTCTGCATATAGATTATTGTTGTCGTTTCACAGAAAACATCTTAGAGCAAAACAAAGACAATATATACATTGTTATGCCTTTCATATAGCGTTAGAATGTGGCTCCCTATGTTTGCAGCAAGTCCTCTACGCTGCATGGTTCTGTAGATTTAAAGAAAACCCATCAAATCAAGATTATTGGACAGCATTTATATCCCTAATTACAAGAGTGCTCAGCCTTCCTCACTACCTGCTAAGAAAGTGATGCTGCCCTCTGGTCAAAATCAGGTAGAATTACACACAACCACCTGGAAACTTACTTTCTGTTCCTCTTCTTCTTCTTCTTGCTTTTCTTTTTATCTTCATCTGAAAAAAAAGGAAATAATATATATTATCAAAAAAGAGATGATTAGCTGTACCCAAGTAGTTTACTGCATTGTTAATAACTAACTGCCTCCATCAGAATGCCTTAGTACACGGCTGCTCAGATGTGATTTGTTTAGGTACCAAATAACACTGAGAAAGTATCAGTAGGAAGCTACTTGCAGTATTGTTTGATATGAGAACGTATCTAACATATCTCTGGCATGAGACGCCCAATGGATGCTATATTCAGACATCCTATTTCCTAAGGCCAGATCGCAAGCACTCAAGGAAAAGGCACTGCAAACCCAGTAAGATGGTGAAAATAAAGAATACTGGATTGATGCTGCAGCTCTGTAATTTCAGAGCACTGCAAGTGTGCAACAAAAGCCAGAAGCATCACTTTGTGTTCAGAGAAGCGGAAGGAGAGCTCTCACATCACGCATGTTAGTTGAAACCCTCTCTTCTTACCAGTGGAGTTCTGCTCAGACTCTGACTCACTGTCGCTGTCCTCAGAATGTTTTCTGCGTTTTCTTTTGGATGCCTTCCGCTTTTTCTTCTTTCTTTTCTTCTTCTTCTTCTTCTTCTCCTCTAGAATGTTTTTAGAGCATAATGTTAGAGAATTGACAAAGATCATCTAGCTCCGCATGTATTTCCCGACCTTCCCAAAGCAATGGTCTCCTTTCAGCTGAAGCTCACCACACTCACTTCCACCTATCAAAGTAAGTGAACCTCTTGCAAGCAACAACAGTAGATTCTAGAACTTCGGTAGCTTCCCATTTTCGAAATAAGCTGTGTAAGCGAAACAAAAATACCTTCTGAGCTGGAATCTGAAGAACTACTCTTAGATTTTGCCTCTTCATCTTCTACCGGTGTATGCTCATCGGAACTGAATAAAAATAAAAGTTTGCTATTTAAAGTCTATTTTGTAGTATTTAAGATCAAAGGTACACACACGCCCATACACATTCTTGCAGATTTTGAGTCAATACTTGCAACAGAGTAAACTATTAAACAGCTCATTTGTAGCACGGGAGCTGCTTGCAGAACCACAGCACAAAGGTCACCTGATCTACAAGAAATCATTTCTTGCACAATTGGTATGTTGGAATTATTTGGAAAAAAAAAAGTAATAATCTTATTATTATGTGTCAGGTCATATCTGAATCAATAACATGAATTGTGGCAAGGGGACACAGCGTAGGAACAAGACATTTTTTCAAATTAAACTGACATATAATCAATATCATAAAAGCCGGAAGGAAAGAAGCCAGAATACGCCTTACTCGGGGTCAGGAACCTTTGGTGACAGTCCCCAGACTTCAGGTGCCCCCAGTTCTCCAATTCTCTCTCTCTCATTGAGTCTCCTGTAATGGAAAACACCTTCACTAAGGCCTACCGCACTATACCCAGCACACAAACATTTTAAGTCTGATACCTGTTACCGTTTCTAATCACCTAAAGCAGCCACAGTAAGGAGAAGAAACAACCAGAGGCCTGGGAGACTGGAGGCAAACCTCCACACACCACAGAGGATCGGCCGGGCAAGGTCAGCACCCTTCCAGCCGAGCCCCGTCCCGCCCGGGCGCCCCTGCCACCCGGCACAACCGCGGGGAACACCTCACACCTGCCGCAAGGAAAGGCCGAAGCGGCTTAAAGGGTCGGGCAGCACCG